AAATTAAGCAAGACATGCATAGCACATGGTTTTCATGTAAAAGCTTTTAGGACTGCATGTTACATTATGTATATATGATCTTAACTTGGTGTAGTGGATGAAGTCCTGGAGACTGGAAACTCGTGTTCAAATCCCCACTCAGCCATGGAAAACCAGTCCTTAAATACCTTGATTACCTCGAAAGGACTTTTAGGGCTGCTCACTTGAGAGGCATAAAACCAACTATTATGTACATACTATACATTCAACATTAGGGAAAAAATGAATGGAGGTACAGGGGAAAGGCTGACGCTTTAAGGAAATGTGGATTGTCCCACTGGGAGAGAATGTTTGGGCTCAGCATTTTGTAGCTTCCGTATTCTGGTCTAGCGTGGAGAATAGATTGTGGGAAAGAAGATAATGGAGTTGATGGGTCTTTGCCCATCACTTCTCCTTAATGTCCTTCCACTTTATTCTGCACCTTGGCTTCTTACATCAGCTTTGCTTCCAGATGGGAAAAAGGGGTTTTGTCTAGTGTCAGATTCACTGCCTCTCAGTGTGCCTCTTGCACAATAATACACAGCAGTGTCTTCGGTTTTCAGGTTGTTCATTTGCAGAGACAGCATATTGGAGGGATTGTTCCTGGAGATGATGAATACAATCAATCCTGAAGCTTTGCAAGAGAGCCGGAGGAAACCTCCTTGGGGAGGCAAACCATCAGCTGCATCTCTGAGAGGCAGTCGGACAAGAAAAAAAAAGAATATGAGGCTGTTTTTCAACAGTCTTTTTCTGTTGATGGACAGAAAAACATATTCTCCTCCCTCAAATTGAGACTGATATCCTGGGTCCAAACTATCTCAAAAACCGCCTGTCTCTGTATGAGTCAGCCAGGCTCTTAGGATCATAACATAGGCAGCCAGAGGTTGAGAGTTTGATTATTATTTGGGGATGTGGACATGAAAATGCTCACCTACTGGATTTCTGTCTTGGTGGAATTCATGGACTCATGCAAGCAAGTTTTTGGGGAAACATTGAAGGTTTGGTGTGTCTAAGATCAAAGGAGTCAGAGACTCCCTCTGAACTATATGGGCGGTTTGGAAGTTCAGACCAGGACGATTCTGGAACGACCCATATCGGACGGAGGCTTGGACATATTGTAAGAACTTTTCATTATTAATTTCTGTCGACCGTTCTTTATTATTCTGCCCCATGAGCTCCTGATTCATGGCTTTCTGGTGCCCCCTCTGGTGACTGTTCTCTAAATGTCATGCAAGAATAGGTTTTTGTCTCAGCTCTGCTGGGATCTCTCTCACTGTGTCCCTTGCACAGTAATAGACGGCCGTGTCTTCCTCTTTCAGGTTGTTCATTTGCAGATAGAAGTTGGAGCTGCCCTTAGAGGCTGTGAATCGGCCTTGGATTGCAGGAGAGTAATGACTGTTCCCAGATGCAGTGTTGTAATAGCTCACAAGCCATTCCAGTCCTTTGCCAGGTTTCTGTCTAACCCAGTACATCCAGTAGCTGCTAAGAGCAAACCCACTGGTGGCACAGGTCAGCTTGTGAGATTCTCCGGGTTTTTTCAAGACTGGACCTTCTTGAGTCAGCACCACCTGTGAGACGACACCTGGACATCAAAATGAAAAGGGAGAAAGAGATAGAGTTGAGAGGAAGCCACAACAAGGAGAACAGGGATTATTTTAGAGAGACAAATGTAGAGGAAAGGACAAATGTACAGAAAAGTAGAATGCAAAATCCCAGCACACCTGGAGAATAGGCAGCCAGGAAAACGAGCATCAGGGATACAGGCACCATCGTGGAGTGATGGGCAGGATCACAAAGGGAGTTGCTCTGGGGAGATGTTTCGAGGAGGTGGGGAGCTCTGTGGGTTTAAGTAGGAAGTCAAGGTCTCCTTAGCTTTGCATAAATCTCTCAAACAAAGAAGGATAAGTATGCATACTAAACAACACACGTAGAGAATCTATAAAGCCATGTTTTGTCCAAAAGGGGAGGAATTCCAATGTTGCATGGGAATTTATGACAGCTCGGTGGAATTCATCATCTGAAGTTATTTATTTTGCAGATTCTGTGTCTCACAGCACAATAGAGAATGTTGGTTCATCTCCCGTGGGATTTGTAAATTTGTGATATGGATCTTCTTTGTAAACCTCTCCATTTAATGCTGCTATATGTTTTGTTTCCCAGTTGTCTGATGTGTTGGAAATAATTCTAATGCCCATCTAGAATAACTTTAGCTCCCCACTCCCTCAAATACGTGTCTTGCTCTGTAATCATTGTGTTTCAAAAACATATAGAGGCTGGTAGGAATGGGGTGGGAGATCCACGCTCAGGTATAAAGTTAAGGTGGACAAGCCTCTTCTTGTCACTCCACCTTTTTCTGCTGATCGACCAGGAACCTTATATTCACTTCTCTCCATTCAACTCCAGAATGACATCTTGGATCCAAGATATCTCAAAAATGGTGTCCCTCTTTATGAGCCTAGTCAGGTTCTTTTGAGGAGAAAAGGGGGGGGGGAGGATAAATAAATAAATAAATGAACAAGCAAGCAAACAAACAAATAACCAAATAAATAAAAATAATCAAGGAAAGCCTTTTGCCTGGTTCCATCACCCTCATGGGTGTATTTTGTGGGGATGTGGGTGAGGGATGGAAAATGGTTCCTTAGCCTTCATTTTTGTAGCTCAGGCAGACACTGGGATTGTGGTGGGGGGGACAGGAAATAGTGATCTGTTGGATTTCTGTCTTTGTGGATTTCTTGAAGGCTGGCAAACAGGTCCTTTTGGGAAACCCTGGAGACTGTATGTATCTCAGTGAAAAAGGTGTGGGAAAAAGTTAGATCTTTATGGGAAGTCTTGAACTTCAGAACATGAGGAATTTGGAGCAGCCCATATCAGGAAGCAGATGGACCAAATAGTAAGAAAGAACTACAGTGGTGCCTCGCTAGACGATGATAATCCGTTCCACTGAAATTACTGTTTAGCGAAATCATTGTCTAGCGAAAAGCATTTCCACTTTGGAATGCATTGAAACCTGTTTAATGAGTTCCAATGGGGAAGAATCGTTGTTGTCTAGTCAAGATCGGCCATAAGAAAGCTGCTTTGCGAACCACTGATCAGCTTTTAAAATCACTGTCTTGAGAAGCTTAGGTCCCACAAACACCTGTTTGCGAGCGCGGAAGGAGCTGTCAAAATCATCGTCTAGCAAAAATGGATTTGAGAAGCAGGGACCAAACATTGTCCAGCGAAATTCCCTCATAGGAATCACTGTTTTGCGAATCGCTATAGCGATCGCAAAAAGCCAATGTCTAGCGAAAAAAACTGTCATGCGGGGTAACTGTCTAGTGAAGCACCACTGTATTGTGCACTTCTCTTCAACCAGGCTTTTCTGTTCTGACCTAATAGCTTCTGATTGATGGGTTTCTGGTGCCCCCTCTGGTGACTGTTCT